GCCATAGCCGCCATGGTGGCCGTTATCTCTTGGCTGCTGTCAGGCTTGTGTAGCTGCTGCTTCCTGTGCTGCTGAGCTGGGGAAATGGTACTGCTCGGCAGGGCCTCTTGGGGAAGTGTCTTAAGCCTGATCTGCAGCTCCCTGCTTTGTGCAGGGGTGGGGGAGGGGAACCCTGCCACTCTGTTCTGTGCCTGTCTTTGGTTCATGCCTGGATTCCTGCTTTAGAGTGAGTGTCCCTTCACCCCTCAGCCCTCCAAGAGTTCTAGGTCCTCTTTGTAGACAGGTGCTTGGCTGGTGTAGTGCCATTTCCCCAGCTATGTGCATAATCTCTGTGTCTGTCTTGAATGGTCTCAGCATGGGCTCCTGCTGGGAGTTACACTAAGGAAGAATACTGTTGTGTGAAAGTGATTTGAAAAAGGAGTGATTAAGGGTTCAGCTAATACCAAAGTTAGTTAGAACTACAGTAACAGAACAGTATCATTAATCGTTTTTCTCACATATCCAGCTAAGTTATTGTCAGCAAATTGACGGCTAACTGATCTTTATTATTTTGTAGGCATGCATAGGCAATTTAAACTAAGTCTGTTGTATGAAACATGGTGTTCCTAGGTACTTGATCCAAGGTATCTGGTTCTTTGACACTGGTGCTTACCGGGGTCATCCTGTCACAGGCACCAAAGGGGGCAGTCCAGTCAGCCTCCATTGAATGTGACCATGAGAGGTCAGTATCAGGAGCCGGTACTGTGTCATCCTAGCTGCAGACACACCTTTCCATCTCTTGGACCCTCACTGCATTCAAGGCCTTTCTTGCCTTCTGTGCACCAGGATACCTTTTTTTCCTTCTACCTTTTTTTCCTTTCAGGGCTGGGGGTCAAACCTTGGACCTTGCCTGTGCAGAGCACGCACTCTACTGCTGAGCTACACCCCAGCCCACGGTCACACTGTAGACACTGGAGACTAGCTGCGTTTCTTACCCGCTGTCATTGTGCTGATCTTAAGCAGATGATCAGCAGGATGATGCTTTGAGTGCGGCAGTGGTAGCCAGAAGCATGTGCAGAATAGGCTAGGCAAAGGTGAGAAATACTAAGAATAAACATCACAGGGCTGTGGTTTGGCTTGGTGGCAGAGTGCTTGCCTACTATGTGGTGGCCCTGGGTTCCATCCCCAAAACTGCAAGAAGGAAGGGAAAAAGAGGTAGCATCTTTGGATGTTTAGTAAGTATACAGGGGGTGATCAGAATGGTAAATGTTCACATTAAAAAAAAAAATCCTTACAGTGAAAGACACTGTCATTAATCCTGCTCAGAATTCTCCCTCTTCCGGCGCCTGCCTTGCAAGCGCAAGATCCTGAGTTTGATCCCCAGCACCAAAAAAAAAAAAAAAAAAAATTGGAAAAAGTAAAAATGAAGAGTGAGGGGAAAACTGGCTCTGCAGCGTGAGCTTGGAAAAAAAAAAAAAAAAAAAAGCAAGATAAAAGAATTCTCCCTCTCACTTACAACATACTTATCCCATTGTTCTTGCCACTTTCTGGCAACTTCTGACTCTTCCTCATAGTCAGAGTGACTGTGAATGGTCAATAATTTGAATCCGTTCAGGACATCAAGGCAGCCAGGACAGCATAACTAAAGACACTCATGAAAGAGGACTACAGAGCTCCTGCAGAAAGGTGGCAAGAGTGATGAGATGAGTATGTTCGAAGCAACAGGGGAATGTTTTGAAGGGGATTGATAGCAATATGCTATTTTTACTGTAATCAATTTTTTAAAAATTTAAACATTCACCGAATTTTTCAGCCACATCTCATCATTTCAGTTTTTTAAGATGAAAAAGTTCTGGGGATTCATTTCACAACAGTGTGAATATACCTTACACTATTGAACTCTTGAGATTTAAACAGATTCAGTTATTTGATAAATTTTATTCAATATGTTTTTGTTATTGCAAGAAAAATAAGGGTCTTCTGGTGGAATATAGATGTAAAAGATGACGCTCAGGATTTTGGATTTTTTGCTTTATTGTTTTGTACTTGGTTCTGTTTCCCTTTCCTTCCTTTGTGGTGCTGGGGATTGAACCCAGGCCTCGTTCTAGGCTCCAGCACCATACTAGCTCTTTCTTTGCTGTGAATTGGACCAGTAAATCAGAGCTGTGGGGGCTTGGCATTCGTCAGGCACCTCTCATATAGTTGGCTCTATGCACCCGAGCACATGAGGGGTGTATACCTGTAGTTCCAAGCTTCTTGGGAGACTGAGGCAGGAAGATCACTAGTGCCCAGGAGTTTGGGACCAGTCAGGACAGTGTAACCTCAGTTATGAGTAGAGCACTGAGGGCATAAGTGCAGGGGCAGGTGGCTGAGGAATCCATCCAGTGCCTCTGCTGACAGAGCTGAAGAAGCCCCGTGCCACAAAGTGGGAAGTCCTGGAAAGCTGGGTGCCCCGTGTGTGCCCCGTGTGCGCACATGTGCAGTCATTCATCTGGTTTTCAAAGTAAGTGGAGGATTTCCAGCTTACAGGAAAGTAGAGGAGGAATATGATCTGGCACCAGCTGGTACCCCTCATGCCTCTGTTGTTGCCTTTTATCCCTGTCTCACTGGATTTTTTTTTTTTTTTTTTGGTATGGGGATCGAACTCAGGACATTGTGCTTTCCAGACAGGCAGTGGCACCACTGAGCTAAATCCCTGGCCTCACTGCCCTTTTGTTGTGTCATTTATTTATAAACATTTCAGTCCTTTCACTGAAAGATAAAGGCTGCTGTTTTGGTTTTCTTTTCAGTCCTGGGATGTGAACCCAGGGCTGTGCATTTAATATGCTCCTAGTCCCTTTTATTTTTTTTTTATTTTTGAGACAGGAACTTATTTAATTGCTTCAGATGGCATCAAACTCATCATTTTCCTGCTTCAGCCTCCTGAGTAGCTAAGAACACAAGTGTGTGTCACAGCACCCAGCAAGGCTGTTTTCCTAGAACTAATCACCATACCACTGTCACCCCAAGATTATTTTACACTTTTATTTATTTTGCTGTTGATTCATTTGTCAGGATTTAAATGAAGTCTGCACATTACATTCAGCTGATATGTTCCTTTTAATGTCTGTTAACCTGTTACTTTCCTTTCTTATTTTTTTTGGTTGTTGTTCTGGAAGCATATTTATTGGAGAAATCATGTCGTTTATCTGGCATAGTTGTTCTTTTACTTTGAATCTTGCTGAATTTATCCCAGTGATATAATTTAATATTTCCCACCTTTATGTTCATGTAAACAGAATCTTCATTTAAAAAAAGTTAGAAGACCATTAGACCGAGAGACAAGATTGGGGAAGTTTTTGCTATTATTTCATTGAATAGGTTTTTTTATGCTTGTAATCTTTATTTCTTCTCCTTCAGGTATGCCAGTGATGTGGATTTTTATATTTTAAGATCTCAAAGATCTTGAATGCTTTCTTCAGTCTTTCTTAATCTTTATTTTTCCTATGCTGGGCATTCATGGCTTCTGTCATGGTCCTGAGTTCATCTATTTTTTTGTCTGTTTCTGTTCCAGAGTCTAATCATGTCTTTTATTCCGTTCACCATCTCTGCCGTTATCTGGAATATTATTTGTTTTGAATTTTTCTAGGGCCTCCTTCATCTGTTTTGTTACTTTCTGTGCTATCAGTTCAAGGTGTCCAGGTGGTAGTTTATCGGATTTTTCCACGTCTTTGCCCCCAGAATTTGCCTTTGGTGAGCTGGAAGTCTGGCTTTGCACCCTGTTTAGGTGTCTTCTCATTTCTTTTTTTTGTTGTTGGTGCTGTTTTTGGTTTAATTCCTGGGTTGATACTTCAATATTGCTTATGTGAGTATCTTTATTGCTTGTATTTATAACCTTTATGTAATGATTGCTTCTCTTCCAGGTATAGCTGGTCATTAGGTTTTGAATCTCTATGACTCTTAGGCAGTCTAGTTCTCAGTGTAAAGGAAGGATAACTGATTAGATCAGTCACAATACCTTAGCCTAAGTGATACAATCAGCATCAACAGTAGCATCAAACACAGCTTAGAAGATGACAATTTGGGGTAGCTATTAATCTGTCACCTTTAACCATGTGAACCAGATCTAAATGACAAATAAGTGAGATTATCTTTGAGTCAGGAGATAAATATCTAGTTACCATTCTGAGCATAATGTTTTGGGGTGTTTTTGAGTTCACCCTCAAGAATTTTGCTAAAAGTTGTTTGAAAAACAGAATTTTAACTTTAGACATTTGATCTGATTAAGTTCCATTTTTGTTGCAGGGATATTTCTTAAGCAATGCATAGTGGTGCACACCTTTAGTTCCAAGCTTTTTGGGAGACTGAGGCAGGAGGATTACTTGTGCCCAGGAGTTTGGGGCCAGCCAGGACAATATAACAAGACCCTGTCTCTTGAAGGATCCCCCGCCCAGTAGTCTGTGTTTCCAGTAGCTCATAGTGTCTGGTGATTTTCTTTTTGTGGCTGAGGGGCTATGTGTCATTTTCATTGATTCATTCTTTGATCATGGTGTGCATGATGCCACTGTTCCTGTCTTGTCATCCCTTCCTTATTAGCTGGAGTGCTTCTGCAGAGGTTTGTCACAACAGACTGTCACACAAAGATAGAATGCATCCCAGGAAGTCAGGCTGTGTAAGTAACTTCTCTTTATTCAAACTCTTGGAGGGTCCTTAGCAGGGCCACACATGGCCCGTGATGCGCACGCCCCCCCCCAAATGTTTGTGTGAATGCATGGATTTCTGCCATTTGGTGATGTCTGGAGTTCATTGCCATTGTTCCTGCTGATGTCCAGGTTACCTTTTCCCTGGTTGGGATGGCTGCAGGTTGGTCCCCAGCTTCTGACAGTGCCTTAGAGGCTTTCTGCCTTCTTGTGTGACTAGGAATCCAGACTCATCATGCTCACCCAGCCCTTCTCTCAGCCCTGGTTCCTTTCTCACTGGCTGGCTGCCCTGGCTTCTTTGTTGCACATGAGATACAAATCACACACAGGCCAGCTTAGGGCTAAAGTAAAATAAAGCTTATTACAGGAAGCAAAACACATGAGGTAGAAACAGCTGCTGCAAGCAGTCGCCCTGGACAGGAGGCACTGCTTGCCTTTATGGGGCCCATCCTGGTTTCCCATGCATCCTGCTTTTGTCTCAGGAAGTACTTGCCTTGTTTCCTTCTTGCCCCCTCACTTCCTGCCAGGCAGTTGCCTGAAAGCCCTCCTAGCTCCCTGAATTAGTTACACACTGGATCTGGACCTGGGAACTGCTGGGTTCAGACCCTGGTCAGAGCTTGCTGGCCACGTGGTGATAGGTGATCCAGCTGCTGGCCCTGCCTGGCTCCCCCTGGGAGGCTGAGTTTAAAGACTGCACCCACGTTCATGGCCAGGTTCCCAGGCTTTCTGTGGACAGCCAGAACTGTGTGGTTATTCTTTGAAGAGCAAACCTTGGCATTTCATGCTGGTACTTCACAAAGTGAGGAGCAAAGGATGTTACTGAACTTTGATTTCGTGTTTGTATCATATGCCGATAATCCTGGTTCCTAATAATTCTGATACATTATTAATGATATTATGATCAAGTAATTACTAAAAATAGTTTTAGAATTAAAAGCATTTCTGTCAGTCTTTACAAAAAATATTTATTTGGCACACAAAAATTGTATATTTTGAGGGGTTACAGTGTGATGTTTTGGTACAAGAATACATTGTGTAATCTCAATTCTTTTTATTCTTAGGGTGGATTTCTCTAGGATGTAAGATAAAATTGTGCTTTAAGTCATTTGAAATAATACCTTTTTGTCTGATTACACCACCAATTTGAGGAAAATTTAGGTTTGTTTCATTTTGCTTTTGAATTTTAGAGATAAATGGATTTTGATTTTTTTCAGGAAATAATTATGAACAACATTTACAGAGTTCCAAGACTAGCTATGCAGGACAAGGCAGAATTGGAGAAGCCCAGCTCTGAGTCCCACGTCCTCCCCATTCCACTTAAAACATGACAGGCATGCACACAAGTGCCTTCTTGTGTGCATGCATTCCTGCTGGCCTGCTTTAGCTGAGTGGCAGGTAGCTTACTGATTGCCTTCTTTTGTTTTTCTGTTAGCTCCTGGTGAGCTCCATAGAGATGCGTAGAGATAGTCTCCATGGCATTTTGCAGGGCTATTCCGTCCCGCTGTGTGTAAGTGCTGTGAGGTTTTAAACTGGTCCCATGTTAGTGGGTGTTTGCTTGTCCTTGCCATGTCATTTTGCTGTCCTGAAGCTTCCCAGGACTGTGCAGCTTGACTTGGTCTCCGTCTCAGTGGTACAGGAGCAGGAGCAGGGTGGGCTTCACCCTCTAGGATGTTCTCTGTCCCACCCCCCTCCTGCTGAAGACCTGCCCAGAAGTATCCCCAAGTCTGTGTCCTCTCCCACCTGTCCTGTGCTTTTCTGTTGCTTGAATTTGTTTCTTCTGCTCTAGGTGAGAGCTTATGTTCCAGGAGTTCCCTTTAAAAAGTCCTTGGGAATTGTATTTTCCAGCACCCACACCCCATGTACCATTGGCCCTCGCATTTGTGCCTGTCTATAGTTGGGCTGTGTGGAGTTCTGTGTGGCTCTTTCACAGCTTTGAGGACGCCATGCCTTGTGACTCTTGCCCCTGTGGTGCTGTTGAAAGGTCTGAGTTCATTTGATTTTTATCCCTTGGGAATGCAACACCCATCTCCCTACCCTGCAAGGAAGTTTCCTTTATCTTTGGAGTCTTAGAACTTTATGATGATAAAGAGCTATATAATAACAGATAACAGCTTTGCTTCGGACTTTCAAAAAAAATTTCGTTGTACCAGGGACTTCTTGAGTGGCCAGTCGTCTGGAGATGCATCTCTCTTTCTGTCCTGGATGCTTGCATTATTCCTGGTTTTTCCTTCCCTCTGTGTTCTCTGCTGCTCTCTGGAATTCCTTCTGAGCCAGATATTGGAGTTCCTAGAAGAGATATTCTTAATGTCACACACCCTTCTGTCTTCTCTCTTATTTTCTTTCATGTATTTTAAAAAATTCCTTTCCTGGCAATTTTTGTGATTTAATTTTGAACCTTTGGATTGAATTTTCGGTTTTCTTGTCATTCTTAATTTTCACAAGTGCTTCTTTATTCTCTTCCTCATTCATATGATCAAGTTTTAGCTTTTTGGGTGCAACCTCATCTGTACCTCCAGGAGCGTATTGATTGTGTGTGTAATGGGATTTAAAAACTTTATTTATTTATTTTTCTCCAGAGTGAGTGTTAAAGTGTGTGTATTTTGGCTCATCTCTTCTGGAGCTCTCCTCTGGTTAATAAGAAAAGTCTAGCACAGTTGCTGGGACCTGGGGACACAGAGGTAGCTTGCAGTGGGCAGAACCATACAAGGTGAAACAGTGGAGGCCACTTTAGACCCGAGGGCAAGGGTGGATGCCCCCTGGCCTGTTCAGTTTTTGTTTTTTGTTTTCTTGAGACAGGGTCTCACTGTGTAGTCCAGGCTGGCCTTGAACTCATTATGTAGCCCAAGCTGGCTTCAAACTCATGAGGATCCTCCTGCCTCTGCCTCCCAAGTGCTGGGATTATAAGTGTGTGCCACCATGCCCAGCTGGCCTGTTCAGTTTTGTTGTTAAGGGTAAGCGATGCACGGAACACTTACAGTTCTGTCTGGACACCGGATTGTATTACCTGTGCCAGCATGAAGTGATGAAAGCCACTTGCTGTGCATCTTCCTTGGGAAGTGGTGTGCCAGGGACTTCAGGGCCAAGGCAGTGGATGAGAACAGTAGTGTGCAGGGGAAGGGTGAGCCCCTGTGGAACCCCAGGGTGCAGGGCAGGGCCTCTGGGGGCCTCTCCCTTGGGACCACCTAGTGTGACTTACTCTCTTCTTGAGAGGGTGGAGGCCCTGAGTGAGTCTGTGAGACTGAGAGAGGGAGCCGAGGGAGTGTACAGTAAACACTGTTCTGGAGAAAGCCTGATCTCCTGGTCAGACTGGGAGCACGTGGCCTCCTGCACAGGGAAATTGGTTTTCCCTTGTGGAAAGGAGGCTGTTGCACTACTTTGGATCAGGAGGCTTCTTTGTAGCCAGGACTAAGAGAAAAACACCTTTACTAATGCCATTGCTTATTCTCTCCGGGGAAAGACGATTGTTCTTGCCACACAGACAGGTTTCTAGCCTGGCACAGTGGTGCTCATGCTGACAAGCTGCCTATGAGTGCTGCCATGCACTTTGTTATGACCAGGGCCAAGGGACCACCTCCCTGGTCTGCCTGCCCTGGCCAACACTGTGTCCCACTGTGCAGTCCTCATTCCAAGCTCCCGTCCTCTTGTGACCAAAGGCCATTCCATGGGGATCCTGTCCTGTGGGAAGTGTGCCCAGGGGAAATAGTGTGATGTGAACATGATAATAAAATGGGCCTATGTGTCAAATGTGAAATACTGCGGTCTCCACAATCAGTAACTCTTGGAAGGAAAGTCAGAAGTAATCGCCCCATGAAAAAAGGCAGACTGCTGCCATGGTGCACAGGGCTGGATTTGAAAGGGAAGGGCTCTGCAGAAGTGTTCGAGGAAGTACTGAAAACACAGAAAAGGAGAGGAAGGCAGACCCTGGAGTGCCTGTACGCATAGGCATCCTGAGAGTGTGGCCTACTTTATGTCAAGTTAGACTTTCTTTCTGCGAGGCTGTCACAAATTCATCCTCATGGAAAATCAGCCCTTTTAGGTTGTTCATTCTGACAATTGTCAACCCATGTGGAGCGGCATGCCTTTTTATTTTAACTCTTTGAAGGCATACATTTAACTGTGGAACTAATACATCATTAAATTTTGGAAGGCAGAGAAATAAAAAATCGTTTATATTGCTCTACCACTAAATTGCTGTTGGCATTTTTGTGACTTCCCTTTGAGGATTTTTGCTTGTGTGTCTATTTAGCTGGCTTGTTACTGTGCATGTGTGTGTCATTTTATCATCTGCGTATCACATCTGTGCTTCTCCGTTGCTGTAATGATTACACACTCTTCCTTTAGTTTTACCTCAGTTTACATATGGGTTACTCAGGATAAAAATCCTGCACCTTGTGGGTTTTGTGTGCCAAGCTTACCAAACATGACCACTCCATGGTGTGCGCACCTACCTTAGGTGTTCACATGAGCTGTCACACTGCGAAGGGACAGGGTCTGTTTGTACTTTGTTTGTTGCCTTGTGTTTATGCTGTGAATGTATCTGACATGAGAGGGGTCTCTTCTCTGGCTTGGAGGTCAGGGTGCACAGTGGAAGAGCAGCTCACTTGGCTGTCAGGAAGGAGGTCCTTCAACACTGTAAAAACTGTAAATGCCTCTTATGCTTGTTTTTGTGATGTGACTTGCCTCCCAGGCTGGTCACGGCTGTGCAGTGATGTAACAATGAGGACTATAGCAGAAGCACCACAGCAGTGCTGGCACCTGGTGGGCCTGGGGGTCTCCAGGAGGGCGCATGAAGGTTATCTGTGACAGAGCACAGCAGCAAGGTTGTGATGAAGAAGCGGCTCACTGAGGAGCACTGTGTGTCCTGTGGACTGTCAGGCAGGTCAGCAGGAAGTGTGTGTCTGTGTGATGTGTGTGGACACCGGCGTTCACACCACCTGCAGGGCCCAGGCCCCCTGTTCCTGCTTCATCAAGGCTGGAGTGGAGCAGGCTCTAGGGAACATCAAGACACTAACATCACCTACTCTGCTTCCTTGGTATTTTTGTTTATTAGGTACCTGTTATACAATTATTTTTTAAAACAGCATTTTTTTAGCTCATGTTCCTGTGTGTTGGTCCCTTTCTTCCTGTGTTGATCTGAGCAGTAGGAAGGATCCTCCTGTGAGTCCTGGGGCTCTGCTGCATGGTCAGTGACACTGTCAGAGTGGGACCAGCCTCACAATCACCCAGTAGGCAGAAATGTCCACTTGCATCGTGTGGCCTGAGGGGTGTGGGTTCTGCTATTTGCCTTCCCTGCCTAGCACCCATCCCCCGGGCAGGGTTCATACATAAAGGCTCTCAAATGAGAGTACCCTCCTTTGGGCTTAAGGGGTCTGTCCTTTGTTAGGAGTCAAAGCACAGAGCTGTCTGAATCTTATGAATAGTTGATATTTGTTGGTTTTGTATAATCTGATAGTTCTCTGGTGTTCATGGGGAGAGAATGGAGAAGAGAACATGCATTCATTTACTGACCACTCGGGGATGCAGAGGGTGCCTGGAGTCCCTGGAGACAGCGTGGGCACACACTGCTTCACCCATGGCAGCCAGGTCAGGGCTCCCAGTGCCCACTGCTCCGTCTTCCCTGGGCTCTTCTTAGAGCAGCACTCGGCAGACTGCAGCCAGGGCCCAAATACAGACACCACCCGCGTGAGTATCAATGCTCTACTGGAACAGAATGTCTCAGTCCATTTTGTGTTGGTGAACAAAATACAGAGGCTGCTTCCTTTACAGAGGAAAGAGGTTTAATAAGCTCATACTTGTGGCGGTCCGAGAGCATGGGGTCAGGTTGGCCTCTGGGGAGGGCCCCTTGGTGGGCCTCAAGGTGGATGGGAGACAGACCAGAAATAGGGGAAGCAGGGGAGAGGAGGTGCTTCACATGGCAAGAGGAGGAGAGTGCCTGGTCACAACCTACTCTTGAGGTAGCTAATTAAGGCCTCATTCCCGTAAGAAAAGCAGTCAACCCCTTTGAGACTTGATGCCCATCTCTTTCGGGCCCTACCACATAAACTCTGGGACATGAGCCTGTGGGGGACAAGCCGGTGGAATTGAACTCCTTGGCCACGCATTCACCCACATGTGTGGCTGTCCTCACACTGCCAGCCAGAGTAGGTAGCAGGCACAATGTGACCCACACACGGGGAATGTATATCTTGTGCTTCATAGGAAAAGTTTGCCACCACGAGCATGGATCGTAGATACTGTGAATTTATTTTAGGCTTCTTAATCTCTGATCCTAGTATTCTGTAGATTTATGGCAGAAGTTTTAAGGAAAGATCATGACTTATGTTAGGATGAGTCTTTGATTATAAAAAAAAACCAACTTCAAAAATAGTACAAGGAATGCAGGCCCTGGTATGTTTTAAACTTGAGTAGACAATAGAAAATTGATCTCTGATTACATACCCCTGATCCACCAGCCTCTTTCAGGTGCTGTCATTTATTACAAGAAGGAAATAATTAGTTTCCATCGAAAAGGCATGTGTCTTTTTTTTTTTTTCGGTACTGGGGATTGAACTCAGGACCTTGTGATTGTGAGGCAGGTGGCAGAACCACTGAGCTAAATCCCGGCCCTCTCCTGTCATTTTTAAAGAGGAAGCATTTGTCATTGTGACTTATTTGTGACCCTAAATATGCAGAATGCTAATCTGACTCTTGGAAACCTGCCGAGTGTGTGAGCTGGGTTGTGTTCTCTCCTTTTAGCTCGAGGTCCATGGCCCAAGATGACTCTAGCGGTGGAGCCTGTCTTCTGTAGAGAGGGGGACCGGATCACAGGCTGGGATGAACATGCCGCTGCACCAGGTCTCTGCCATTCCAGCCCAGGATGCTGCTTCTGGTAGAGTTTACAGGAGCAAGACCAAAGAAAAGGAGAGAGAAGAACAGGTAATGGGAGACAAGCTTTTATTATTATTATTAAAATTTCCTTACATTGATCCAGACTAATACTTAAGCTCCAGAGATCAGGGTTTTCTCTGATCTTGTACTAAAAAGCACATACAGAGTGTACTCAAGGAGACTGTCTTTTGATTGGTTTTTAGATTTTCAAATATAGGAGGAAACTCACTTTGCTTGTGAATAAATGGTTACTTAAAGGCCTAATTTGTTTTCAACGATTAAGTCTGCCTGATTATTTCTGGTAAATCACTAAGACAAAGTTGTTTGAATTATGTTTTTTTGGTACTGGGGATCGAACTTGCAACCTTGTGCTTGTGAGACAGGCAGCGGCACCACTGAGCTAAATCCCTGGCCTGAAAGTTGTTTGAATTCTTAGAACAAGACGCAAAGTATAAATTTATGTGAAGTAAAAGTTAAGAGCTGAGCGTGTGGTACAGACCTGTAATCCAGCACTCTGGGGAGGCTGCGACAGAAGGATCACAAGTTCAAGCCCAGCCTGGGCAACTTAGTGACCTAACAAAATCCCATGTCAAAATTAAAAAAAGAAAATGTCTGGAGATATAGCTCAGTGTGAAGGCCCTGTGCTCTGCTTGGTGCCGGGGTACCATAGTTCACACCACAACGTATGTCTGCCCAGCTCTGGCCACAGCTGAATGTGCACCTTTAGCAGCGGGACTCACAGCAGCCTCATCCCCGCCTATGGGGTCCAGTGAGGCTCCTGGAGAGGAGCTGTTGGTGTGGAGAGCTCAGCAGTGACCTGGAACTGGTTAGAGAGGGAGAAGGGCGTGTCCCGGTTTGGGACGCTACATGCCCCACGTGCCCAGAGGTTGGCTCAAGGCGAGTCTGAAGAGGTTAAGATAGTGTCACCCAGACATAAAAGTTGGACTGGGTAGGGCATGGTAGGAGGTTCCACAAATTAGGAAGTTTCCTTAAGGAGTTTGGATTTCTCTGTGCACAGAATGAAGGATCAGAATTTTGTTCTTAACACTTCCTGCAGCCTGCACTTTGGAGAGAGACTAACTAGGGTTATTTACTAACTTACTTAGCGTAGGTTTGTGAACTCGATCTGTGAAGGGCTAGAAAATAGATATAAGAATGTGCTGCCTCCCAGTGGACCACCCTGTGCAAAGCAGACCCTTCGGCATCTCTTCTCTGTGCAGACATTGTTGCTTCCTGTGGGGCGTGACTGTGTCTCAGACTCTGCAGCCTGGTCTCCCCAACTTCTCTCTGCCATAACAGTGTGCGGACCCTCAGAGACAGCGTGTAACATGTGGACCTGACTCTCCCAGGACGGTGTTGTTTATAGGCAGGCAGAGGCTGAATTTGGCATCCTTCCAGTCCCTGCAGATCCTTGGCTGAGGGCAAAGGCAATGGTGGCTTCATCTAGGACTGGGTGACAGAGACAAGAGATATGTCAGTTGATTCATCCATTGGATATGGGAGTGCACATGGCAGGGGCAGGGGAGCCAAGGACAGCCTCCTGCTTTCTTCCTGTCCTTTACAGGCTTCTGTAGAAATGGGTGTTCTTCGATTCCATAGCATTCCTATTTTATTTTAATTCTTTTAGTTAGTTTTTTTTTTTTTTTTTGAGACAAGGTCTCAGGCTTGCCTTGAACTTGCAGTGATTCTCCTGACAGCTTCCTGAGTGCCTGGATTACAGGCATGCATTACCACGCCCAACTTTGGGCAGACTTACTCTTTGCCTAAGACTGTGAAGAATCCTTATAGGATCAATAATTAATAAGTCTTTCTTGACTTGGGATCATTATGGTTGATGTGATGCCATTCTTTCCATTATTCTATCAAGAATTTTTTTTTTTTTTTTTGGTACTGAGGATCAAACTCAGGTCCTTCCTCTTGCGCAGCAGGCGCGAAACCACTGAGCTAAATCCCTGGGCCCTCTATCAAGAATTTTTAAAAAACAAATCATATCATAGTGTTTGAACTTTATGAACTACAGAAAATGAAAAGCTCCATATAAATAACCAGAAGTTTCTGTGTTCTTACTTTATCTTTTCTTATACTCTGTTTTGCTGAGTTTTCCCAAGAGGTGGCCAGTTTTGGTTGAGATGTCAGCTGAGGTAGCAGTGGGGTAGAGAGCTGGTGGATGTAATATTGCTTTCAATATTTTAGTTTTTCTCTTAACTTCCTGGGCATGGGGAAATACCTTAAGGTCTTTTCCATGTTCTGTCAGTGAGGGGTTTATGTAAATTAATAGTCTTTTCTTGGAACCCTCCTTGGCCTACATGGATTTTTAAATTTGATTAAATAGGTGCTCACCCGAACCACGCCAAGCTCCCTCTTCAGTGTGGCTGGAATGTCCCGCTTGCCTGAGATCACGTTCATTTGCCTTCCTGCAGTCCTCCCCTGGTCTGGGGAAAGAGGGTGCAGGCTGTCTCATGTCCCTTTGATATAGGGGAAATAGGTGTAACTCCCAAACTTGTTAGATATCTGAAATGTGAGTTCATGTTTTCTAAGATCAAAGAATGAATTTTAGGAACAACAGAGGTTAAGAGTAGGAGAAAGGGCCAGGGATTTAGCTCAGTGGTGCCACCACCTACCTCACAAGCACAATGTCCCAAGTGTGATCCCTGGTACCAAAAAAAAAGAGTAGGAGAAAGATAGCTTCTGTCTAAGAGAGAGAGAGACAGAAGGGGGACCAGAAGGTGGGTTGCCTGCCCGCCCCGCTTTTCAAAGGTGTTTTATACAGCAAAGCCATGTGGTGAGGTGGGTACAAAGTGGAACAAAACTATAAGACCCAATGGAAATTTACAAGGTGGGTACGAGGGGGGACAAAACCATGACCAACCAATAAGATTATAAATATAGTCACCCAGGTAATATTGATTAAATGGGGATCAAGGGGGAAAACAAGTCACATGCAAGGAATTTCCCATTTAGAATATCAATCACTGCTATCTCTAGGGGAAGTAGCACCTCTTTTTTTTTATAATGCTAACCAGTGAATGTGCCTCAGTTGTTCTCCATGTTGGCTCCTCACTGTGTTGGCTCCTGGAGGGCTGGCACCTCGAGGGGGCCCCTGTCTAACTGCCTACAAGGTATCTAATTAATTTATCTGTCTACAATACCTTCATCTAAGTGCACAAACCTGTTGCTAGGGCTCTGTTCCCTGACACCTCATCTCCAGATTGCAGAGCACCGGGGATTAGGATTCAGACAGGAACTTGGGGATCGGTGTGGACATTTAGTCTGTAGCAGTCTGCACATGGAATAGAGAAAGGAAGATGTCCAGCATTTTAGGCCAGGAAAGGGGATTCTTCTTTACACACACCCCTCTGCAAATGCCACTGTACATGGATATTCAGTAAATGCTTACTGAATTAATTAATTGGCAGGGGTTTACCGATTCGAATAAAAAGCATAAGGATTTAGATTGGTATTGAGAAGAGGATCTATCTTGCCCCACCTTAGCAGGACAGTACTGTTGAACACTTGGTGGCAGTCTAACATTTCCAGGAGTCCTGGCACCAAGGCGTACTGGCAGGACCTCTGAAATCATCCCAGTGCCTGCACCAAGCTGAGTGGGGCATCTTTAAGTTTCCAGGGCCTGACGTGCATCTGGATGGGTTGGAAAGTGAATTTGTGTGCACAGGGGCCCATTTTGCTTTGTGGAGCTCCCCTGGCACACATTGAACCTGGCACACTCAGATATGGTCTCGATCCTCTTGTGCTCAGAGAAGTACTAAGAGGCCGAGCAGCTCTGCAGAGGCCCCTCTCTGTCCCCAAAACCATGCTCATCAACTGCAGAGGTGGCTTTCATCTCACTGAGGGTGCATTGGTGCCTGATTCTGTGTAGCACCCTCTGCCCGAGCCTGTGTCTACCCTTCTTCAGAGAGTTTGTGACTTCTGCAGGCTCAGAGGAGGGTTCTATAGTCTGAAAGGACACCTAGGGCCTTCACTTAGAAATTGGTACATGTTTTTAGGGTTTTATAGATAATGAGGGATTGCTTTTTAGGCTGTCTTTGTTTGGGAACCTGTTACATTTGTATTGTTTCAAAAGCAATATATTCTTTTTTGCTTGGAGAATTTTTTTCCTACAGTTTAAAGTTACAGTCGTACCTTGGTACTCACCTGCTTTGAAACTTGTTGTATTTGGTACTTGATGAGCAAGCTAGAATTTGTTGGTGTTGATTGCCTGTGCCTGGTTATCTTTTCCAGCCAAAGTAATGTGTTTGGTACTCATTGCAGCTCCCAGAACCAAAGAAGTACTGAGGTACATTGTCTTAATATCTTGTTATAGGTCTAACTGAAAACATTCTCTGCACACTTAAGTATAGGATTGATAATGTGTATTTTTAAATGTCTGAAAGATAGTTTTACCCTTTGGCCATGAAGTCAGTGTTTGGAAGTACTTGTGTCATTGCGTAGTCTCAGTTACATGCTATCTTAGAAAAATGCCTATACCACCCACCTGGTAATAGCCCAGGGCTTAGGGTACACTGTGAGCAACAACATCCTTTCTAGTTCATTTACGGAGAGGGCTTTGGTGCAAAGAAGCTGGTGCTGGTAGGGTAGTGCCTTCTCTGGATTCCAGAACAGTGACTCCCAACGCCCAGGACCACTCTACCAAGATTAGGAGCTGAGGAGTCAGAAAGTTGCTATTGCTGCTTCTGGTGAAAAACACCTCACTGTCTTACTTACCATGACTGAAGAGATTGCCAGGCTGCCAGCTCTGGAAGCACATCATCTTTGCCATGGGCTGGATTAGCTGAGTGGACCTCCAGCGTATCTCTGTGGAACATCAGCACCTTGGCTTGGGTCATTGGATTAGTGGAACCCAGGTGGGTCTGGAACCCAAGCTGAAAGGTTGTCTGGAGAATACACTTAAAATTTTGGGCTCTCTGCCCTTCAACAGGAGACTCTGAAAGGACTGATCTGTATCAGGTACCCTGAAAGGTGATTCAGTGGTTAGCTTATATTGGAAGGGAAATGGGTATTTTCTTGCACGTTTACAAGTGCTTCCAGCC